TTCCGACAGATTTAGATGTCAACTTGTACCCAAAAGTCTCAAGTATAATTAGAAAGTGAAACTTTAAGGTGCCAAGAACAATTGTTGGTAGTGGCAGGTACCAGGTCTCATCAGAAACAGCTCAGGAAAATGCAAGCAAAAGCAGATGAAGCAGAAAAACACTGATTTGTGACCGTCAAAAGTAGAGGAGGAAAATAAAATAAAATAAAAAAATAGTGAGAGGACACTGAACAAAGGCGGGTAGGTATTTCATGAAGATCCACAAGTGTCAGATTTTTATGAAGCTTGCTTCCTGAGGGCGCTTTTATCTCTGTTTGGAAAAGTAATGCAAGATTTTCTCATGAAATCTATAGATTATACACAACTTAGAGGGTTTGATATGAAAACTGGTTAATGGCAATACTCATTGACTATAAGAGATTTAGACTCTTAAAATCCTTCCGACTACAATAAAACTCGAAGTTGGATATGAGAGTTAAGGTTATAATTTTAATAAAGTTTCACAAAACCCCCTGAACTTTGTGGTGTTTTGCACAACTCTTGTTATGAGAAATCCCTCTAATAAACTAATATCAATCACACGAAAACACGAAAAATATCGAGAGAACATAAATAATACACGGATATACATGAATCAGCTTGTAACCTACATCCACGGATGAAGGAGGATAATAACTTTATTAACAATTCGTGAGGAATACAATGCGGATATGTCTCAATCACTCAATCCCTAATACACTCTAAAATCTTAATACAGTCTCTCTCAAATAAAGGAACGAAAGAGAGAAAAATATCAAATAGGCTTCACCAAAAAACTCTCTATTTCTTAATTGGTGCTTTGTAGATTGAAGATCATATTTGACTTGAAGGCTGTACACATATGGACTTAAAAATCCCAACTCCTTGCTACCTACGGAATAGGAACTCTAGTGTGAATAGAAATCCATACGTTCTAAAGCCCAATAAGAGTCCAAGCCCACAATATGAATTGTTTATCCTTGTCAGAATAAGAATTTGAATTCATATAATTATTCCACAATTCCACAAGACAATAGACTCCTATTGACTGCATCCTCTGCCAAAAATATCAGATTGAATATTTGAGTCACAACACAAAAAATCTCAACCTCGACTTAAATGCATCAAATAATTCTCACTCCCAAAAGCTAACTTACTCCACATTCTCCAATAGTCTCGCATGGCATCTAAGGGCGGCACATATCGATCAAGTCCAAACCCAGCTTGAACTTGCCAACTGTAACAGGCCTCCTCAACAAATTGACTAAATTGTCTGCACGACGACCATAATTCATAGCAAAGTCATCACTTGAAGTAGCTTCTGAATAGCCGAATGACACAAAATTATCAACCGATAATGCATAAGCCACTGTATCTTCATATCTTCGGGGTGATCGAATATCTCGTTTAGACCAATCTCTAACAATAGTGTATTCCCGCTCTTTTTGTAGTTGCTAAGGTGCTTCATCTACTTAAACGGGATCTGGTTGCTGAACTCATGTAGTCTTATCCTACTGAAAGAGCTGAATCATGAATTTTCAATTCCACATTCTGTCCTATAGTGTGCGTCCTACCATCAACTGAAACTGGTTACTATTTTTGGTGGAATATAGTAGACTCATTAAAAGTAACATCGATCATGGCTGATAATAATCTTAGGAGACTTCGGATCAGGGCACTTTAACCTAAAACCCTTAACACCGGATGCATAATATAAGAATATGCACTTCTTCGCTCGAGGCTCAAATTTCTCTTGACTGACATGTGCATATGTAGAGTAACCATATATTTTATGATTAAAATAATCCGCAAACTTATAAGACCAAACCTCCTCTAGAGTTTTACAATCGATATCAGCAGATGGTGACCGATTCACTAAGTAACAAGCCGTATCTATAGCTTCTATCTAGTGTTCCTTGCTAAACTTGTATTGACAAACAAACAATGATTTTTCTTTAAAAGGGTCCTATTCATACATTTTGCAACTCCATTCTGTTGTGATTTGTGAGAGACTGTGCGACGTCTAATAATTCCCTCCTTCTTACAAAACTCATTAGTCAGCCTCCCGGTCTACTTCTTTATCAGTTCTAAGCCTCTTAGTCATCCTCCCAGTCACTTCTTAATCAAAAACTTTTACAGTTTGAAAGTCACAAACACCTCATCTTTATGTCTTAAAAGAATAGACAAACACCTTCCTAGAGTAATCATCAATGAAGATCAATAAATATCTCGAACTACTACCCTTTGAGGCAACTAGAGAAGGTCCTCAAAAATATGAATGGATATAATTCAAAGAATTTTTAATCTGATGTACCGTCGTACTGAAACTGGCTCTTTCTGATTTCCGATGATGCAATGCCCCTATAATCCTAATTTTCATGCACTTTGTCCACATAAAAGACCCTTCTTGCTCAACTCGGCTAATCAATGCTCACTCATATGACTAAGTCTCGTATGCCATAATCTGGTAGTATCTACTCCTAATATCGATGATGCAACTACAGCTGAACCTCTAATGGTAGAATTCTGTAAAACATACAAGCTGCTAATCTTCTTTCTTTTCATAACCACAAGAGAGCCTTTTATAACCCTAAGAAGTTCACCTTCACCTGAAAAATTACATTCAAGACTATTAAGAGTGCCCAAAGAGATGTGATTTTTCCTTAAACCTAGAGCATGCCTAAATCAGTCAAAGTCTTGATGACTCTATCATGCATCTTAATCTGAATTGTGTTTTTCCCAACAGTCTTGCATGACGTGTTATTTTCCATGAGAATTACTCCACCATCAATAGCTTCATAAGTAGTGAACCAGTCTCGACTAGGACACATATAATAGGAACAACCCAAATCTAAAATCCAATCTTTAGTGTTCCTGGTTTTATTATCCTTAGCCAACAAAATCACATCTTCAACGTCAATGAAGTCCTCCTTTGATTTCTCTTCATACTCTTTTTGTTTCTTCTTGTTCTTCAACCTGTAGCAATCGGCCTTGATGTGTCCTTTCTTCTTGCAATACATGTAGATCAGATTTCTATGTATCGACTTATACGTGTTACCTCTGAAGCCCCTTTCATCCGATCTACCTCGGACAAATAAGCCATCAGTTATCACCACTTTCGCTTGTAGTTAATGATCTTCTCTTTATCCAACAAGTTCTCTTTGACGTCCTTGAAGCCAATAGAATCTCGACCATAAATTATACTATCCCTAAAGTGCTTGTAGGAATGCGACAAAAAACACAATAGTAATAGAGCTTGATCTTCATCGTCATTCTTAACATTAATTTTACTCAAATCTAAAATTATAGAATTAAATTCACCAATACGAGATTTGATGTGTGTTACATCCGATAAAGGAAATGTGTACAAACACTGCTTCAAGAGGAGGCGATTAGTGAGCGACTTTATTAAATACAAATCCTCTAACTTAGACCACAAATTAGCGGCTGTCTTCTTCATAAGAACTTCTAACAAAACTTCGTTTGTCAAACATAATTGGATCGCTGTGAGAGCTTTATCATCCAACTCGTTCCAATCTTCCTTCGTCATATGAGCTGATTTCTTCGACTTTCTGAACAAAGTCTTCTTCAATCTGCTTTGTGTCAACACGGTAATCATCCTAACTTGCCAAATGTTAAAACTGATGTTGCCGTCAAACTTCTCAATATCCCTTTCATAGTGGTTGTCGTTATCTTTTCATCCTATCAATAGCTAAGGCTCTGATACTAATTTATTATGAAAAATCCCCAGAGCAAACTAATACCAATCACATGAAAGTATGAAAAATATTGAGAACACAGTAACGCACAAATATACGTGATTTGGCTTGTAGTCAAATAATGGAACAAAAGAGAGAGAAATATCAAATAGGCTTCGCAAAAAAACTCTCTCTTTTTAAAGAATTGGTGCTCTGTAGATTGATGATCATAATTGGCTTGAAAGACTGTACATATATAGACTTGAAAATTCCAACTCATTGCTACTTACGAAATAAGAGCTCTAGTGAGAATAAAAGTCCACATGTTCTAAAACCCAATAAGAGTTCAAGCCCATAATATGAATTGTTTAGCCTTGTCAAAGTAGGAATTTGAATTCATATAATTATTCCACACTTTCACGAGACAATGGGCTCCTGTTAATTGGAGTCTATGCTAAAAATATCAGATTAAGTATTTGAGTCACAAAACAACAACCCTACTTCATAAAATAAGAAACAAAATCCATCTGAATATTGTCTCACTATATTACGACGATTTACAGAAGTTAGTTTAAGTCATCACATGATCCACACCTGACGTGTTTTGGAAAACTTTTCCCATGTGGATTAATTTCATATCACTCCCTAAATTTAGTGGGTTTTGCTTGAAAAGCTCTCTGATCCTCCCTCTCTGATCCTCCGCTTCGTCTGCCTACTTCTCTATAACTTTTAGTGCATCAATGGTAATGAAGGTAGTTAATCACACCTTTCAATCTTCAGGTTAACGCAGTTTATGTCAATTTCTAATAATTCAAAAGAGTTTTGTATAACTTTGTAAGTTTAGGGGGGCTGTTTCCCTAATTTATAAAGTTTAGTCGGCTTCGTGTAAAGTTCACCAAAGTTTAGAGAGCTTTTCTAAATATAAAATTTACCCACATATTTTATTGTGTTAACATGTCCTTTTCAGGGTCAGTGTTCTTAATTTTCATGTGCTGATATTATTTAAAATTAGAAGTTATTTAACTCAGAAGTTCCGATGAGGATCAAGGGTTACAATTTTATGCTCTGATATCATTATGAACAAGTGAGGGTCCCACTCCATCATTCCGCACGCTTCATCAGTTCGATACAGTTGATAAGGTGCACGCGCAAGACATGACTTATAGGACACGAAGCGCATATGATCGCGAAACAATATTTGAATGAAAGAAGCAAAGTTTTTTTTTTTTGCCCTTCAACTTCAAGCTAATGTTATATCATTTCTCCGGCTATGTTCAGCGATCAATAGAGAATATCAATATTTCCAGGCATCACGTTTGCTTGCAGCCAAATTTAACCAGCAAGGATCGATACATCTCGTCAACACGGACGTCATTTCAAAAATAATATCAGGTACCACACAAAAACTTCGCCTCATAATTTGGTTTTAAGGAAACACAATGATCTAAGCCTAAAACTTCTACTTGGAATCCATCCACATTGAGTCTCACCTCACATGGAACCCTCACATATGCAGTTCAATTTAAGCGGCCCCAGCTTTCTGCTCGACCAACTTCTCGATCATGTCGGCCGCCTCCTGCACCGTCGTAATGTTCTGAGAGCCATCCTCTTCCACGCTGATGCCAAACTCTTCCTCCAGGCCCATAACTATCTCCACCTGAACTCAAGAAACAAAACATAGGGGTGGTTATATATTGAAGTAGACCCTTTGTAGCTCTAGTGTTGCGGATAGACCCCCGAGTGGATTTGTTTCTTTTAACCCTCAGGAGGTCTATTCAAAATGGGTGACGGCACGGGGGTCGTCTATCCACAATTAACCCGATTCTTATGTTGCAAGGTTTCAATGAGCATCGATCCTTTGATGCTCCGAAAACCGGTGTATTTTTATTAATAGATGAGACTTTTAATTGAAGTCTGCTTTTTAAATATGTGCCCGGTTAGTGGGATTTGGATCATATATACCTGTTACCATATTAATTTCCTTAGCTAATTGCACATAAACCCCTGGCGGCATTGTTGTTTTGAACTTACGACCCTGTCTGTTGCGAATAGACCCGTTGAGTTCTTTTATTTATTTATTTTTCATACTCTTATCTGCCAAAATTTTAGTTTGTGGAAGATTAGGTGAGCTAGAATATTACCGTGTCCAGAGAGTCGGCACCGAGGTCCAAGAACTTAGTTTCGGGAGTTAGGGCAACGTCATCGGACAAAGCCAGCTGTGTTTTCACGATACCCATCACTTTTTCCACCGTCTCGGGTTTGGCCTGTTCAAACAACGCAGACATGCATGCTCTAGTTAGTTTGTATCATGAAGAAATTTTTCTTTATACAATATTTTTTTCCCCATATATTTAACCAGATGATCAGGAGGAGGTATTTACAGCACAGCAGATTTGGAGCCGTGGGGATCGCAAAGAAGGGAAGCTTTTCGACGAGCCCGACGAGACTAACTTCACACTGGAGGGCCTTCCACCGGTCTGCAATAAGAAAACTGAGTTTAGTTTTGATCCCGAAGTTATGAGGCAAAAATGATCCAAAGGAAAACTGGTTTAGTCCAAGTTTGTTGGTCGCCAAACTAGGGCTAAATAATTACGCCAAATTTACTCCACTTAAAAACCCATTTTATTCATTTGACAAACAAGCCCTAAGTTCCAAGATACGCATACAATAACTTCTTAATCATGGTAAAATTGTAAGTTTCGAAAAGAAGGGTATAAATCTGAATTTGGATACGATTTAACACAATATTCATCAAATAAAATTTTAAAGAATAACTGAAACATCGTTCTGTAAGTTGTACCCATGACATACTTATCGAATCTGCGATGACTCGTGCACATTTTCTCTTCTTTTTGTCATATATCAACGTCAATGGTACAGATAACTGGTCGTATGTTGTATCTTTTCACTATGTATAGTAGTTTCAAGGTGAGTTCTATTTTCATTTAGGATAGATCTCTCATGATCTGGGAAAAGGTAATTAACATATTCTAATAATACTCATGAATGTTATATTATGATGTCTGTTGAACTACAAATGACTCTACTAAGTATGATAGAATGCTCCAGGAGTACAATATATCATCAAATGCCAGGTAAAATAGTGAGCATCAATAAGGTATGTGTAACCTCTTCCCTGAGTTGAACTAGGTTAGTCCTGTACTCGTATATGAAAATTTCAAGTAAATAGAATTTGATACTCAGATTTTAGTTCAATTTCGTTTCTTCATTGTTACATCTAATCCCTATTGCCTGCAGTGGATAGTGAATAATACTAAAGCTATACGTTTCGTCTCTCCTTCTATCCTTTTAACCAGAGAGAATTTCGTTATAATTCCTCCTCGTTGGAATTTTACTCTGTTTCACTATTGAAACTCCTCCAATTCCAGACGTTATGAATTGTATGATGTATAATTATATCTGAACATTGCCTGATGTTTTGTGCATGTAAAAAGTATTGCTATATGCAGATAATTCAACATTTTAAGCTAATAGAAAGGGCTAAATACTCATATTGGTATTTTAATTCCACCTCAATTTCCAACAAGGTATATTAAATAGGAAAACCCGCTTTACGACATTTTAATTGATTTAACTAATCAATAAGGCATGTTTTCTCGTCGGCGGGCAAATTTCCGACGAGATCTCTTCACGTGCATGGCACGTGATGTCTCAAAACTCATTTTTAGCAGCGACGACGGCAATAATCTCGTCATATTCAGCCCAAAGTAGGATAAAATAACGGTTATGACGTCGCCTGATATCGCTAACCCCATCGAATCGGCTGAATATGACGAGATTGTTGCCTTCGCCGCTGCTAAAAACGAGTTTTGAGACATCATGTGCCATGCACGTGACGAGATCTCGCTGGAAATTTTCCCGCCGACGAGAAACCATGCCTTATTGGTTAGTTGGATCAATTAAAATGTCTTAAAGCGGGTTTGCCTATTTAAAATACCTTGTTGGAAATTGGGATGGAATTAAAATACCAATATGGGTATTTAGCCTAATAGAAAGTATGAGATCTTTATCGCGAACAAGTTAAGTTGAGTAAATTTGGATTTCAAGTTACTTCAGTAGTTTTAGCAATGTGCTCTCTCATTCATAGGCATGCTTTTAGTATGAAGTTAGCAAAGATGAAAGACAAGGCTTTTTCTTTTAGGGTTTATTTGGTACAAGGGTAAAAGGGTAAAACTTAATATTGGTAAATTTTCCCATCACTTTAACCGTGTTTGTTATGATATTACAATTTCACCAAAGTTAAAAGTTTTATCATATACAAGGATAAACCTTATCCAAGTGAAGGGTAGGATGAAAGAGGGGAAATTCTAGGCTTGGCTCATTTAACCATGTGCAATTATAAATAACCCAAAAAAATTTCAAAACATATTAAAAATCCCCTAAAGTAACAAAACTTACAAATATCCTTGGTACAATAGAAGATCAAACAACCCCCTAATAATTCCAATGCTACGAAAAAAACCTGAAATTTCAAAAAAAAAAAAAAACACCCTAAAAATTCAAAACATACAAATAACACTGAAAATTTCAAACCTTACAAGAAGCCCACTGATAATTTCTAAATTTATAGACAACACCCTAAAATTTTTAAAAATTACAAAAATTACAAAAATCCCTCAAAAATCAAAATTAAAAAACAAGCTGAAATTTTCATATAAGTCATTACAATGAAGATAAGGGAAATACAAACAGCCCCAAAAGTTTTAGATTTTGCAAAAAAACCTTGGAATTTTAAAAACATGCATAAAACATCATAAAAATTATAAATTTACAAAAAAATAAAAATTTCAAACAAAAATCAATACACTAAAAATTTAAGTATTACAGACAGCCCCTAAAAAGTTTTAAATTTACAGAAAACACCCTACAACTTTTAAATTTTGGCAAAAAACACTCTAAAAATTTAAAACTTACAGAAAAAGCTTGAAAGTTTCAAACATAAATTAGAATACTGAAAATCTATGAATTAAAAGCAGCCCTCTAAAAATTTAGAATTTGCAGCAAACACACTAAACTTTCAAAGTTCTTGTAAACATCCACGTATTTTCAAAATTTACAGTAGTAGCTACGGGTAATTATCAAACAGTGGAACTCCCAAACACTTCAGTAGATAAATTAAAAATATTTACTCTATTGATTAAAGGATCATATGATACATTGTCCCTATATATACCATTTATACAAAACCCTAATTAAGGATAATTACATCACATGTAAAATTACAAATAGGGACACAATATTTATCTCAATACTCCCCCACAAGCGAAAGGCTGGGAATGACTTACAGCTTGGACCGAAGAAAATCAAAGCGTAGAGTGGGAATCGGCTTAGTAAGAATGTCCGCAAGTTGATCACGAGTAGAGATAAATTAGACCTGTAGATCACGACGCGCTACCTTCTCCCGAACAAAGTGAAATCAATCTCGACATGTTTTGTTCGAGCATGAAAGACAAAATTGGCGGATAAGTAAGTAGCCCCAAGATTGTCACACCAAAGAGTTGGCGAGGAGTGAAGAGGAAAACCAAGTTCCCGAAAAAGGGATTGTAACTATGTGAGCTCTGTAGCAGTATCGGCAAGACCTTTATATTCTGACTTCGTGGAGGAGCGAGAGATAGTGCACTACTTTCAAGAAGTCCATGAGATCAAGTTAGCTCCAAGAAAAATTGTAAAACCTCTGTAGATTTGCGATTACACTATGCCTAATCTGAGTCACAGAAGGCCTCGAGGTAAAGTGGAGAGTCACGGCGAAAATAAAGACCATGAGAGGGAGTTCCTCGCAAATATTAAAGGATTTGACCGCCAACTAGCGGTCATCAGTAGGTTAGTGCATAAACTGGCAAACCTTATTGACAACAAATGCCAAATCAAGTCACGTGAGAGTAACATACTGGAGGGCACCAACAACCTGCTGATACTTTGTCGGATCGGAGAACAAGGAGCCAGTCATCTTGGACAATGAAACATAGGTAAATAGTAGGGTAGACACGGGTTTGGAGTCGGAGAGTCCAACCCGCTGAAGAAGCTTCAATCCCAAGGAACAACTTCAATCCTAAGGAAATAATGTAACAGGCCTAAGCCCTTGAGGGAAAACTCAGAGGATAAAGCCGCAACAACACGAGATATATGAGTCGGGCTATTCCCTATAACAATGATATCATCGACATTAACTAAAATAAATAGTTTAGTCTTACCTCGAGCATAAATAAACAAAGAGGAATCAGTCTTGGAAGCAATGAACCCCTGAGAAAGAAGAGCCTATGAGAGGCAGTGAAACCATGCCCGAGGGGCTTGCTTGAGGCCGTAGATAGAGTGATGAAGAAGACAAACATGATCCGGGCGTGCAGGATCAACAAAACCCGGAGGTCGAGACATATAGACAGTCTCAGTCAAGGATCCGTGTAGGAAAGATTTCTGAACGTCCAGTTGACGAAAAGATCATCCCTGAGAGACCGCAAGAGAAATAATAGTCTGAATGGTCGTTGGTTTGACAACCGGGCTAAACGTTTCCTCATTGTCAGGACCCGTCTGTTGATGAAAGCCCTTTACAACAAGACGCGCTTTATAGCACTCAATGGAACCATCGGCTTTCTGTTTGATTTTGTACACCTATCTACAACCAACAACATTCATAGAAGTCGTAAACGGTACTAAAGACCAAGTGTCATTCCTAAGAAGAGCCTAGTACTCGTCAGCCATAGCCCTACGCCACTGAACACTCTTATTAGCAATAGTAAAGGGTGTTGGTTCCATATCAGTGTGTGTATGGGCAAGGGTAGTGAGGGAGGCCGAAGAGGAAAATATTACCTTTTGCTTAGGATTGGATCAAAGTTTTGGTAGGAGGGGCAGGTGGAACAACCTGTAAGGAGGAAGGAGACAACGGCTCAGAGTTGACTTGGGAAGGGACGAGGGATGAGTGAGATGGACTAACTGTAGAGGTGTTGTTAACGACCCTCCCAGTAGGGCTGTCGTGTGGCTGGACCGAGAGCAAGCCGATAGTGTTGGACGCTTCTCGGGGTTCAAGTGGAGCTGCACCAGAGGGAGGTGTGCAGGGAAGAGCTCTCGGTAGAGGGGGCGTAGCCCCGGGAGAATGGTCATGGAAGGCTCCAGTTGTGTAGGAGGAGGAGGAGCATGTAGGGGAAAGGTGTTCTCGTCGAAGCGTACATGTCGCGCAATATACATTCCATCAGTATCAAGGTCAAGACACCGATAACTATGGTGAATAAGGCTATAGCCAAGAAAAACACACGGAGACGATCTAAAATCCATTTTACGATTATTATAAAGATGAAGATAGGGAAAGCACAGACACAGAAAAACCTTAAGAAAAAGATAGTTTGGTCGTTTGTGAAAAAGACACTCGAACGGAGATTGGATTTGATACACTTGGGAAGGCATTTAATTTATTAAATAGATTACGATATCAAACGGTAAATGCCAAAATTTTTGTGGGACACCGGAATGAACTAAAAGGGATAGTCCAGTCTCAATGATATGACGATTGCGACATTCAACCATCCTATTTTGCTCGTGAGTATGGGGACAAGAAACACGGTGAATAATACCCAATATGGAGAAATACTCAGATAAATTTTGAAACTCTCCCCCCAATCTATTTTAATTGACTTGAGTTTAGTTGCAAATTGTCGTTCAACCATTGCAATAAAATTTTCAAATGTAGGAAACACATCAGATTTGTGGGCCATGGGATAAAACCAAATATATTTCGAATAATGATCCATAAAAATAACAAAGTACTTATGACCATCACAAGACAAAGTAGGGGAAGGACCCCAAACGTCACTAAACACCAGATCAAGAACTGAACGTCTCCTAAAATCAAACAAAGACAGAGACAATTTAGACGATTTATCAAGTTGGCAGCCATTAACAAAATACTCTCTAGACCTAGACGAGCACGAAAGTGCATTTTTATTGATCATAGCTCTAAACAACTGTACATGTGGATGACCCAACCGACAATGCCAAATTGCGGACGATGTATGCTCAGCCGAGATAGCCATGGAACTTATTTTATGGAAATGAGGGAGGCAAAGTGAATAAAGTCCATTCTCACTCGGGCCTGTAAGGAGGACCTGTTTGGTAACTCGATCCTTCACATAAAAAAGTGCGTGAAACTCAAAGAAATTATTATCAGCAGAGAATTAATGAACACTAAGTAAGGCCTTAGAAATGAAGGAACATGCAAAATATTGCGCATATGAAAGGCATTAGACCTGGAAAAATGATTTGGAACCAACATTAGCAATATGAAGTCCTTTACCATTACCAATATGAAGTGTGTCAATACCTTGGTGAGCTTCGGAGTGATCAAGACCCGCAATGTCTGGGGTCACATGATTCATCACACCCATGTCCGGAAACCAGAGGGATGCATTGAATGATTGTGACAACTCAGGATGAGTGTTAGAGAACTGGGTAGTGGGTAAAGCACCCATAACTCCATGCTGAAAACACGGTAGAGCCATATGACCATACCCTTGACAGATCTGGCATCGTATGTTAGCCCCAAAATTGTTGCCACGGCCATGGCCACAGCCACGTCTGTGACCACCACGACCATCGTGATAACCACAACCATTGAATTGCTGCGGATGATTAGCAAAGGTCGACGAAGCCCCAGATGAAGAATGGCCCAAAAAGAAGGTCTGTAGTGTCGCGACAGAGACAGCGGCTTGTTGTGAGGCCTACCAGAAAGGCCAGTTGTTGTGCCGTCCAGCCCAGGGAGGGCAGCGACGATGTGGAGGAGCCACCGGACTACTGGACGGTGGAGGAGAGAGGAAAGTCACGGTCGACCGAAGAAAAAAGAGCTAACGGGTTCACGGACGGCTCCTTTGACCACGATATAAATATATTCTTGAGTAAGCAAAAGTGACTGGAGATCCGCAAAACGTATATTTTCCTTGCGAGCATGAAGAGTAGTAAAGACGTGTTGAAACTCGGGATGAAGACCCGAAAAGATATAAGTCATAAAATCTTCATACGAGAGTGGACGATCGGCAGTGGTAAGATTATCCGCAATAGTTTTAATCTTGCCATGGTAGGTGGAGATGGAAGAATCATTTTGTCGACATTCGAGAAGTTCCTCATGAATTTGTAATGCTCTAGAGTTCGAGGGATTAGTGTAGGCAGCCGCAAGGGCACTCTAGATATCAGTGGATGTTTCTTTTCCAACAATCACATGGAAGCACTCCTCGAAGAGGGACGAGAGGATAATAGTCTTCGCGTGGTCATCGTTTTGCTTCCACAAAGCATAATCAGGATTGACGATGGATGAGGACTGACCTGCAGAAAGTATATTGGAGGGTGGGCAAGTAGAAGTCCCATCAACAAACCCTAGAAGGGATTGGCTTGAGAGAAAGAGATGGATCAAAGTATGCCAGTAGAGGTAATTGCCAGGCTTCAGCTTGAGGGTGATGTAGTGGTGTGCGTGTTTCAAAGCAGTAGCGACAGAGAAGGTGGAGGAAGAACCGGAGGAGGAAGAGGCCGAGGTGGAGGACTGATCATTGCCGAAAGCCATGGAGTAGCGACGGCGAGGCGAGGATTTGGTTGGCCTAAACTAGGGTTAGGGTTTGGTTGGCCGAAAAAAGAGAGATGGAAGGCTCTGATACCAAATTGAAAATATTTCCTCTATTGATTAAAGAATCATATGATACATTGTCCCTATACATACCATCTATACAAAACCCTAATTAGAGATAATTACAACACATGTAAAAGTACAACTAGGGACACAATATTTATCTCAATAAGATAGTATAAAAACTTCTCTATTTTTTTTTGGAAAGTGAGCCGGTTTAAAAAATAAATGAGGGTAACACTAAATCAACACGATAGGGCGACATCAGCGTGGAAAAGCCAAAATGCAATGGTTAAAAAGGTTAGCCCGCTTAGGAACAAACCTAACCTTAATAAATGAAATACATATAAAAATCCCAATACAATCCACATCACACATTAATTACAAATTAGTTTAACAGCTAAAACTAAATCAATATCCAAACTATTCACTTACGGAGAACCAAACTCAAGATCCAATCTTTGTGAAGAAGAGGGTTTTCACCTGAGTAGTCCAGCTTGCTGGCTTGAGAGAGCACCCGAGCTTGACGGAGGTAGCACAGACGGAGGCCATTAGGAGGAGGATGAATAAAAAAACACCCCTAAATTGCAAAAATATTTTTGGGGGGATGGAGATAAGAGAAAGAGAAACGCTATCTGTTATTGTCCAATTCCCTCCCTCTCTCGTCTTGTTTTGATTTTGAAATGGCGAGGAACGGATAAGGTAAGTTTTCGCTGGGCCCCCTGAACTTTGGGGGCTTTCCCCACAAAAGACTTACTGAAACTATTTTTTCCCATCAAACCCCCTTAAAATTTAGAACGAATCATAAAACCTCCCCAAACTATCAAATCTTCTCAGTGTGCCCTTCTAAGATCGAGTGTTAATGACAATGTCGTTTGTTGTTCTGATTGTGTACGAAATACATGTTTGTTGATACATTAACACTGTTAAAAGGGCCAGTGGAGAAAAATTAAAAGTTTATCAGAGGTTTCATGCAAGCACACCCAAATTGTTTTTTATTTTTTTTTTTTGTTTTTTTTGGGGGGGGGGGGTGGGAAGGGGGTGGTTGGGTTCAAGGTGGGTGAGTTTTGTGTGGAAACCCTCGTAATCTTTCATATTTGTTCGAAATGGGGTGCTCGGTATATTAAAGATTAATAGATTTGAGGGTGTAATTATAAAATATGAATGATGTATTTAAATAGTATTCTATGAGTACATGTGGTTGATGCAACCATTTAATGAGTGCATGAAATTATGTCACTGCTCACTACGAATTATAATTGTTTTGTCTTGTACCAAACATACACTTTCTATGATTTATATATACGTATAAGTAGTATTATATTATATAGAATATTATAATATATTTAATTTGTGGAGAGGTAATATTATATATATATATAGTATATATATTCTAAGTATATAATATAGAGAGGAAGAGAGAGAGAGAGAGATGAGAGTATGAGAGAGATTTAATGAGTATACCTTGTCACCATATGTAGTGATTCCTCATTGACGCCTTAAAGATCACATGTGATTGAGCAATATTTGTGGATTTGTATCGGCTGCTCGTTGAAGCTTGATCTTTACATATTTTTCTAATACCCAAACACCAAGTTTGGGTGGAATCCCGTCGTCTTGTTTGACCCTTCATCCCTAGTGGATGCTTATTTTAAAACGGTTTGATGAATATTTGAACTTTTCACATGGCTCGAGTTGGATTGTTTCAAACGACGAGGATTTCACCCTACTTAGTGTGTTGGGTTTTAAATGATAGATCAAAGTCAAACGGAGGACGGATATTCCATAATGGTCGCTCAATTAGTCATGGTGATTTTAGACGGCTGATCAAGGGAGGAAAATCCGCCTCCTATACAAGGATACCATTAATCTCATAATAGTATATTTATTATTTTATATATATATTATATATTATAGTTATATATATTTGTATTATATATATATATATATTATTGTTGTGTGTGTTGTGTGTGTGTTGTGTGTCGTGTGTGTGTGTGTGGTTGGTATTATTTAGGTATATATATAAATTATAGATGTTTATATATGTTTATATTATATATAATATTTTTATTTTTTTTTTTTTTGTGGTGGTTTGGTTTGGTAATAGTGAGGTATAGGTATGTATATATATATTTATAAGTTAGTATTATATTATATCATATAAGATATATTTTATATTAGTTTATAGTAGTATATATATGTTATTTTTATTATGAGAAAAATGTATACTTGGTACCTGAAGGATCCTTGGTATGGGTTGGATTGGACATCATCTTTCCATTTGGGACAGTCACACCTTGAAGATGGAGCTCACAACTCCAAGGTGTGATGTAGGTATCAAGTATGGTCCACATCACTACGAAGTGATCTCTTGAGGGCTCGGCAATTATACCTTATGATTCTCTTCTTATATGATAGTTATATTATATTATATATTATGTAATATATATGTATATCGTAATACTGTATTCTCTAATTAATACATGTTATCTAGTGTGTATATATTATGTATATTAAGCTGTATATATATATATATTTATAGTTTAGTATTTATATTATATTATATGATATTATATATAATATTGGATTTATTATATATTTATGATATTTAATTTTATATATTATTATTATATATAATATTTTATAATATAGTATAGGTGTATTATTATATATTATATATTTAATCTGGTATTCTTGTCATAGGCGATGGGGATTTCCTCTTAACTGCGCTCTAAATCGTTATATGTGATGTGATCTTTGATACATTCAGGAATGACTCGGTTTTTTTTGTGTGTGGTGTTTGTTCGTATTCGTTTGAATTCTTGATTATCAGTATTCCTAAAACGTGTTTATTTCGTCCAGACATCAATTCCAAAGTTTGGAATCTATCGTGCCGTTTGACCCTTTCCATTCGATGCCAATGTGAAAAAAAAGTTCTATTTGATTAACCAAGAATCTGTAAAATGTGGAACAGTAGGATGAATTGGTCCAAACGACCGACGTTTGTGTTCAGGGGTTACCCTAAACTTGGTGTGTTGGGGTTTTAGAAATATTAGATCAAGTTCACGGAGCGATCATCCACAATGTCGCTCAATCAGTGATTTCGAGGCGTCAGTAGAGGAAAATCCCCTCCTATGACAAAGGATACGCCTATT